TATATATACATTGTGTAAATCTCAGATTATATATATAATTCCTTTTTGGGTTTTTTTTCAATAAATATTGTCCATCATTTTCATAATCTTGAATATTCTTGTTTCATTATCGATTTATAAAATTGCTTGACAATACTGACTTTCTTCCATGCGAATCGACCAGTTGCAAAAAGAAATATCTTGCACGCATAATAACTTCTGCTGGTTTCAGTCCTGGGCCCCAAATAATTGTTTTCAGTGGATCTATGTCAGCGTTTCTTGCTCCCGTACATATAAGCAACACTAAGAATGTTGCCAGCCTCATATTTGTTGCAAATATTTAAGAAAACACAGTAATGTATATTCTCTCGCTTTAGTTAACACAATGTCTTTGCTACTGGAAAAAAATTGAAAATTCGTTTTTTTTTCTAAAAGTGATCACAACTTAATTGATGACAATTTTAGAATTCTCTATATATTCAGGAATTTTTATATACACTTCAAAATTTTTTAGAATTCCTGTATAATTTAAAAATTTATAGATTTTTTTCAAAATCAATATCATTTATACAATTGATATCTTTTTCAAAAGTGCTGAAAAAATCTAATTTTTTGTCTGGAATTCTTTATATATTGTGTGAATTCTGAAATATTATATTCTACGATTTTTTATTCTATATAATTTCCAAAGAAAACTTATGAAATCTGGAAAAGTTTAAGGTATTTTTAGAAATCTTCATAAATTTAAAATTTGAAAAATTTTTGAAAATGAGATATAAGAATTTTTTACCGAGAAAAGGTTATGATCACATATTTTCCTGTAAATTTGACATTTTAATTGTCCATATGCACAAAGACAGATCTTAATGCAATGATTCATTATACCGTGGTTCTTTTTTTCGAACTTATTATTTACCTGAAATTCTAAATGTAAACAACTGTTTGAATTATTGTTTTGCAATCAAAAGTTCTCTGATGAGATAGGATTATTCCTCTAGATTTAAAAGTATAATCCAATTAACGCGAAGGAAACTTCCAATAGTTCTCCCAAATGTAAGACGGGAGTACAGACTCTTAGGGCCATTCCACACAAACATATGCATAAAGAAAATCATCTAATCGTATTTTACGTTTATCTTCATAGATAGAAATGTGATAAATTTCTTTATGCATATGATTATATGGCTATGCAAGTTGTGTGGAATAGCCCTTAGGCCGGAATCAGACTATGCATTGAAGAATGAGATTGAAGATTGAAAAATTGATGTTTGATCAATTAGATTAAAAAAAAAGAGTCAAAATTTCTTTGGTGAAATTTCAATCTTTAATTTTAATCTTCAATACATAGTCTGATTCTGGCCTTACATAATGCAAAACACATAATGCATAAGAAAAAGAACCAATCAAAGTCTTTTATTTTCTTCCTTTCCTTGAAATAAAGGACTCTGATTGGTGATATTCTTATGCTTTATGTTTTATATGTTATGCAAGAGTGCTCTCCGCTTAAACATTCCGCTGAAGCAATCATTTATCGCAATTTCGTAATCGATAACTGTCAATCAATGATCAATTCGTCTTTGATAGTTAAAAATATGGTTAAAAAGTATTTCATATTTATTTACAAGCATGTAGGCATGCTACACAAAAATTCGTTCACGTGACATTAAACACAATTTCTATTCGATATTTCTACGAAATTCTTTGAAATTCAATAATTTATTGCATACTTTTATACAGTGCTAAACAAGAAAATTATAAATTACAAATAATTAAACAATATCACGAAATTACTTCTGACAGATTTATATCTTTGCACGCGATCTCAGAATAATGTTTAGTTGTTACAGGAATGAATCGTTGGATGTAACGGTTTTAGATTAACAGAAAAGAAAATTTACTATGGCTAATATTGGAGTAATACATTTTTTAATTTAAAAATCTTTCATATTTCTTGTATTGTATATATTATATTCATATATATAATACCAATGATTTTTTTATTATACAATTTAATTTTGATCAAATTATACTCTTACATAAATATTTTATATATATATAAATAAAATGTTAAGTTTTTATATATATAAATCGCAGAATTAACTATATATAATTAAATGTTAAACAAATTTGTACAAATATTGGTTTTTTAATTTACCTATTGATCAATTACATTATGCACAAATGTAGCTTTTATAAAGTTACATTTGCGCATAGTGTGATTAATTATTCAATCGATAAATTAAAATACTTATATTACAGCATTCGCTATTGTATAAAAGAAATATTTGATTTACAAGAATGGTGGCTCTACATAGAAGAACTATTTGTGTTCCATATTTTTGCTTCATACAGATTCTTCCAATCTCAAGGTTTCCAGCCGAGGAAGCTGTCCTGTATAACTATCTGCTTGAATATACTATTTGTTATAGATTGTACGGGCTTTCGATTTCGTTGAGCCTCCATGATGTACGAAACCTTTCCTCGAGCTTCCGCTCGTGAAATATCGCCCCTCAGGCCAAGCAATCTGATGAGATGATCCTCTGTCATGTCAGGATACTTCTCGACCAACGAGTGTAAATCGAGAGAGAGTATCTCCGCGTCCTCGCACCTTAGCACTTCAGCGAGACGTTTTATTATCTCAAATGGCGAATTAAAGTTCCCAACCTTTGGTGCGATTCTGTCGAAGAAGTTCTTCAATTTATCCGCCTCTGTCATTATCTTTGATGTACATGTTAGACACTCGTCATAGGTCTTTAGGGAAATCTTCCTCTGTAACATCGCGGATATGTAACGCTTCGCGATGAGATTCTGCGCCTCAGTGATGACATACTCGAAGTTCTTAGGGCTCAGATGATTGTAATCCTGAAAATAATCCTCCAAAGTGACACAGATAGTCTCCACTGGAATGGGCGACGATAGCCACTTGGGCGTGATTAAATCCTGGAAGTGCAGCTCCAAATCCAGGAAAGATTCTTGCAGTAAAATAGCTGCGGCTTCGTTTCTTAGGTATTGATAATTCGCCAAGAGACTCTCGACTTTCACTGTGATGTCACTGGTAGTATTGGGTACCCAATAAAGTTGCTTCATCTGCTGCGCCAACTCGGTAAATTGTATGCAATTATTAACTATCGTGATCATATGATGTGTGAAGTAAGGTACCTGGCTTCTGTCTTCAAAATGCTTCGTTTTAAATTCTAGTATTGCTTGTCTATACATAGATCCATATTTGATCACCTGCTCAATACATAGAATCAAGGCTTGCGCCGTCAAGTCAGAGCTAATAGTTTTTGCAACTTGAAGATTTTGATCGATCATTTGGAATATGATAACCGGAGCGGCGGTGTGGTAATATAATTCCTGGGTGCTGCTGTCAGGCAGGATACCACTCCTCCAATCAAGCTTCTCTGTTTCCAGCGTTTTTCTCATCCAATCCTCATAATTCTGACACATATTTCGCAAATACTTTTCCTGAAGATCGTTTATCATCTCAGAACTAAGCAGTGGACCTATATCAGACGTATCAATGTTTAATTCAGGATGTTGCATCAACTCTGACCCTGTATAAGTATTCATAATCCATGCCAATAGAGAAACATATTCGTTTCCTTCTAGTCCACCAGCAATTATGTCCTTTAAGTGCTGGGACAGACTCGTATGATACATTTTAACAAAAGTTCTTACTATATTGTACGAGGGTGGAAAGCAAGGTTCGCACAGAGTTTTAACCACGCTCAAATCCTCAAGGATCAGAAGTCTCGTAAGTTCCAGATATCTCACAAGCCACATTTTGTTGTCAGCCCTCTCCTCCACCTGAGTTCCCTCGATTCTGTTGGCAACTAACTTTTCCAATACCTTCATTGCCATCTCCTTCCATCTCTTGGGTCTACCTGGCGCCATAAATCCACTCTGCTTGTGCCTTTGAATAGCAAATTGATCTGCTTTTTCTTCTCTCTCTATAATTCTCAAAGGTGTCACTATGACAGTAGATTCCTTCCTGACTGTGTTCAAAGTACGACCTAGCACCAGTCTTATTTGCTTCTCCATAAGCTGTGAAAGCATTTCTACGTCCTCGAAATAAGCCTTCAGCATAACCGTGTCAGCCGGCGATTGATTCGGTAATTTGTGAAGCTCGTACAACAATTCGTCCCTGGAAGTTTCGAGATCCATCAGACTCTGATGCGCATGCAACAGCTTACCTTCGTTTATCCACTGTTTCGTCTTTTCCACGCTCTCGGGGACAGTGAATATATGCTTCAAGTTTTCCTTCGCAATGACGTATTGAGAATAACGCATGTTCTCCTCCTGCACTGCTTGTAGCCTAGAGCTAAGCTTCAGAACTGAACTGAACAGCTGATTAATATGGTCCAGGTCGTCCTTAGTAGTGGCAATAGCTTCCAGGGAGCTTTGAAGTTGTTCGAAGCCGACTCTGACTCCGTCCAATTGGCTTTGCATCGCGGTTTTCAACATAGTTTCGACGGAGGCCTTCTTCCTGGCGATCCGCCGTTTGTACATGTCAATCTTCTCCAGCTGGCCCGGCCGCTGCAAGAGGTTCGCAACGTACTTCGTGCCCCTGGCAACTGCTTCTTCCTCCAGCTTCTGCAGATCTTCCGCGTTCGTCGTCATTTTCGATAATTGTGCTCAATATCAACTAACTATCGGAATTCTGGATCTCAAGAAAAAGATCAAATATATCCGTACAATGACAGCATAGTGACACTGTGTAACTAATGACAATCGAATCAGATCATCTCTAGGAATATTTCATGGAAATGAGGAAACAGCTGGAGGAAGATCCATCTACGGCAAATGGAGTGCCTGCAAGTGGAGAAAGAAGCTGATTGGTTGTGCCATGATGCATTGATGTTCATGACGTGCGATGTGCATAACATGATGATAGAAAGTTTACTTCTCAATAATTGGCATTTCTGAATTTAGGATTTTTGTCCAGTAAAATTTCTGATTCGGCAAAATTTTGAGGTTAGTTCATCATTCTGATATAGACGTTATTTATATATTTATATATTTATATAAGATGATAATAATATATAATATTTTTAAGATTATATTCAAGAATTAAAAATAAACACAAGATCTTTTTTTTAGATGGCACACTTATCACAATTGGTTTCTCTTGGATTACAAAATGCTCGACAAACTCTAGTATCTTGTAATAATAACTTGGGTTTGTATGTCAATATTACTTTATTAATGTGGCAAAATTGAATATGTACTTGGATAACCAAATCTGTCAAAAACAAATTTTGCAAAGTGTCTATTGTAAATTTTGTTGGAAGAATATATTAGCAGAAAAATAATTATAAATATGGAAAGAATTTTTAACAGCACAAGGATATTTTCTATTTAGATACAAATGTCATTTTATCTTTATTATTCATTGAATGCCAAAGTTAGAATGATGTTTCTCTTTGTTTAAAATCTTGTATCTATGCTAGGAATCTATCTGTGATCTCAGACTGAGAAAGATTAATTAATCACATTGGTCCTGTGACTGCATTATAATTGTTATAATGTGATTTGAACATATAATTATTTATGGTAACATGTATTTGTTCAAGTGTCATTTGCAGGATTGGGTAAGTTAACTTTTTTTTTTAACTAAATTAAGTTAAAGTTAACAATCTCGAAGATTTTAACTTAATTAAAATATAAATTAATCTGTAATAAAATTAATTGAATTAAAAATTAATAAAAAAAGTAATTAAAAAATTAACAGTTAAATTTGGTTCAAACGAACTAAAAAAAAAAGTTTGACTATTTTACATAATTTTTCATATTTTTCCTTTCTTACAGCTTATTTATTAAAAAATTTAGTTATTTTTGTTCACAAATAAATTATACAATATAAAATATAAAATATAAATGATTATACAATATAAAATTACTAAATTATATTAATTAACATTAGTCTCTTGCATTGTATCTAAGGATTGACTTAAAAAAAATAAAATTAAAAGTTAATAGTTATTGATAAAATGTAACTAAATTAAGTTAAAATTAATTAACTTTTTAACTTAACTTTTATCTTTTTAACTCAGCACTACCTAACCTCTAATCCTAGTCATTTGTTAATTTGTTTTCTGTCTGATATCTCAGCGATTTCTAGCATTGTGAACACAAGACTCAAATCTAACAGCCTATAATTGCTTGAATGTATAAATCAAGCATCTCTTATTTTTTAAATAAAATATATTATTTAAACAATTGATTGACAAAATGATTGATCTGCTTGATTTCTGCAGACAACCTAAATTTTGTTAAAATTGCACTGAGACTGAGTAATGAGCTTAGGATGAATATAATTGATGCTTATTTGTATCTATTCTATCAAATTTTTCACAAACTGTATTATTAAGATTTTGCTTGTTTACATATTAAGATTAATGAAAATTATTTCTTTTATTTAGTGAAAGTATGTGTTAGATATGCTTCAAAGAAAAGTAGTACTAGCACCTGCAACAAGAGTGGCCATCCCAGACCAAAACATAGAGGATGGAAAATACAGGATGGGGGTTACACATACGCGGGCAGATTATTGGTTACACAGCGAAACCTCAGATTCCATCCAGGTCTTAATGTAAGTTTATTACTGTGCTAGTTAATTACTATGCTTTTAACTTTATAAATTTTCTTTGTATCATTTTATATATATTTTTTATTATATAGGTTGGTTTATCAAGAGACAGATCCTTATTTGCCTTAGAACCAGGCAAAGTGGTAATAACTTGTGAGAAAGTTGATCTCAACTGGAAGCACCCTTGGGTTAAATTAAATTATGCTGGTCGTGAAAATCAAGTTATATATAAGAAACACTTTAATATTATTCCTGAGCCCCAGCATAATAGATTCAAATTAATAGACACAATCTAAATATGTATAGGAAACATGTAAAAACAGTTTTTTGAATGTCTTAAACTCTTAATAAATATGTTTAATAAATATGTTGTAATGCTGTGTGTTGACTATAAATGTGGATATCATACAAAATTGATTATTCTCTACTAACTCTCTAATTGATTAATTTCTACTAACAATTTATGATAAAAGTTTCTAAGTTGAAATATAATTAGAATTAATTTTTCTTGAACCTGTAAGTAATGCTCATTTCACAATTTTATGAAACATGCATTATATGTAGACATCTCTACAAAAATCACATCTCGAAAAAAAAACAATGAAAATAATATCAACAAAATATAAATATTTTTAAATAAAATGTTATATCAGCTGTCTTCTAATGCATTACATTCTGTCCACTGAAAAGATTGATATTTCACTATATCTTTCTCTTCGTGATACGTAGCAAACACCAATGTTTTTCTAACATGACAACTAAGTCTGCACTGAGCAATAACATCCGTGATAGGTATTTCTTCGTTCGCACGTTTGCATTGTACGATATATTGTGAATGAAACATTATTGGATCACCTGTGAACAAAAAGATTTATAATGTGTAGTTTGCACGTTAACTCTAAACAAACACAGAGAACAGTTAGAAATAGCAGAATACACGTTTTTGAATAGATTGAACTCTGTTATTCCTTGTTCCTATTGCCTGCTTTTCAATTATATATTACCTCAGACTTTAGAATTATAGTGAAACAAATTGTACCTGGATATACCAGAAAATCGCCACCGAATTTTTCTCCACTGGTAATGTAATATTGCCTCTCCCAAAGATCTTTATATACCTTATACTTAAGTTGCTGATCAGATGTAAGCGGATATTTCCATTTCACTATTTTTACATCATCTTTATTAGACCATGGATATGCTAACATACAAATAAATGAACAATTCAGGTCATGAACAATGTATGATTAAATTACTAAATGATTAAATTTTTTGTACCTGTATGTATTTGAATGAGTGCATCACTTTTTTTCAGTTTGGGCAACTTAGCCAATTCTTCTTCAAGCAAACTTTCAGAATCGATTTCAATATTATTCAAGGCTTCCTGCATTTTTTTATCCAATGATTTCCTCATATTCTTTTTGCTTGTGTGCAAGCCTAACAGCTTGCGTTTTTTTCCTTCTATAATCTTGTCCATCACAGAGGTAATCTAAAAAAAATATTTATTATATACCATTCTATTACAAAATCCTTATAGTCCTTTAAATATAAATATCTATACAAGTAACTACCTGTTTTTTTCTGTTGTCTTTTAGACAGTTTCCTTGTTCCAGAAACAATTTATCTCTGTACTCCTGAAATCTTTGATTTAATGATTCATCTGGCTGTGTCTTTAGACTCGTACATTCTATGAGACAAGCGATTTTCTTTTCAAGCAATAGAGTAACTTCTTCTGGCAATAAAAGCAATGGGAGACCTAAAAATATTTCTTGTCTAGTTAATTTTGGAAAAGAACCTACTAATTCGCCGATTATTCTGTGATCCCGTCGAAGCTTCAACCAATCTATAATAAAAACAGACATAAAATTAAATAAATTATAATAGATAATTATGTATATTGACATAATAATGCTATTTACCATCAGCATTCCAGATAAAAGTGTTATTTCGTGAAGAAATAAGATACACAACATCCATCATATTCATGATTCCTTCAGAATATCTGAGATTCGTTGATGAATCAGTGTTTTTGTCTGAAACTAGGCGCTCTTGCAATATATTCGTTATTTAAACTTTTATTCTCCAGGCGCTCTATATCAGTTTATCTTGAGTTTTGTTTTTCTTTAAATCGATTTTTATTTTTCTATCCACAAGAATATCTATCATTCTCCACTTGAAGCTTCTTAGATCTGATCATGTAACTGCACAATTATATTTTTTAAACAAATATATCCAAAATTACATACCTACAGAAAATAGAATAATAGATATTTACTATAAAGGAATAGATATTTAATCTAGGCTTAAAATCTCTCCTTAAAATCATTCACAAAAATATAGACTTGATTCCGCAAAAATGAAAGAAACAAGAAAGAATTATCGCAACAATAAGAAGAGACAGACGAGAGAGAGAAAAAAAAAATTCAACTGCAAGGAACAAACCAATAATATTCGTGAAGAATCTCGCGAATAATTCAGATAAAAATGAATGACTGAATGAAAACTCGACGAACGCAGCCCAAGGCGATGTCACGGAATCGTTCGTCCCTTAAGTCGAATATAGTCATTGGTCGATTCTTTCATGCGTCCCTCGCGCTGGCACGTCCGATTGGTCGATCTGTGTACACGCGTGCCGTGAACACACTTTCACGAGAACTTTTCGGGACGGGTTTTTAACCTTCGCAGACGCGATGTGTACCGCTCGCAAGGACAATATTGCGGTCTGTCACTTCCCCGAACAATAAGTTTCGTGGAAAGGTGGGGTAGGAAGGACGGCGGAAGGCGGGAGTGTGAGGCGACCGTTGAACATCTGTCACTGTGCGAGCTGGTGCGAATAGTCAGCCGGTTCGTTTCAGTCTAAGTCCCCTGAAAAACCGCGACACACTGTCATGGCACCCGCTTTTGTGATTTTTTGAGACACAACGCACGGCCGCGCGCACGCAAGCTCGCACCCTCAATCGTTGCGCACGACGATTTCTAGACAGATATAAGCGGAAACCCACCCTCTTCCCTTCGTGCCACACGGTGAGTGCGGATTTTCATTTGACCGGCCTAGCCTTGTTTATTTGCCGCGCGCGTGCAACTCCTAGGGCGAGCCTTTCGGTAGGAGCGCGCTCGAATCTCATATGAAACCGCTTCTGGGATTATCCGCGCTCCGATCACGCGAGACGAAGTGAAAGTGGATCTATCATGAATTCTCGTAGACATTGTAGGCGGTTCCTAATGAAAAATTAGCGCTTTGTATTTGTTGGATTTATGCGATTGCCATCACACTTGTCTTTTGCGTCTCTTATTGAATATAGATTATGTAAATTAAGGACGGAATTTTGTATTAAGTATATCGCGTGTGTATTAATTCTCTGTATATTTATTATATGTATTTATTGTATTTTTTAATTTGTATTTATTGTATTTTTAATTGTGAATCATGGGTGTTACGTATGTTTTGAAAATCGCTGACTGACATTGTTATAATTTCATTTTATTATTAACGTCAGTGTAACATATTGCTACATATGTGACATCAATATAATCAGAACTCAATATAATGAAATATTTAAATATGATATGATGGATTGAACATTGTTAAATAATTAGATTCTGTATTGCTGCTAATGATGTTTATGTATCTTTTTGTAGATAATAAATCATGAGCTCAGGTAGACCAATAAAATGTGTAGTGGTAGGAGATGGAACAGTAGGAAAGACCTGCATGTTGATATCATATACAACAGATAGTTTTCCTGGAGAGTATGTACCTACCGTGTAAGTATATCTCTATGTTAAGATTGTATGTCTGTTCTCTCTACTGAAAAATCTTCTGCTTCTACATAACCCATTAAAGGGACTTTATAGCATGGTTTTTGCCTTAGTTTCTCTTTCTTAGACCAATCAAATGAAGTGGCTAATAATAGTAACAGAGCAGAAGATACCTAACTGCTATGTACAGGAAGTAATTCATTTCCAGTCATTTTTTGGTTATTTCCTGTCCTTTAGATTCTGACAAATCTATTTTTGTTGAGCTTCATTTCATTCAGCAATATATCTTTATTGATTCACATGGCTCATTACAGTTACAAGCAAATAAAATTTCTTTTTATTTTTAACTGATATTGAAATATTGAGTAAGACGCTTTAAATAATAATGAACAAATTAAAAGCAAATTGAAAAATGTAACATTGAATATATGTTAAATCTCTAATGTTTGAGTTATATTTAATAGGTTTGACAACTATTCTGCACCAATGGTTGTCGATGGTATTCCAGTTAGTTTAGGGCTATGGGACACAGCAGGACAAGAAGACTATGACAGATTGCGTCCTCTCTCCTATCCTCAGACAGATGTATTTCTCATTTGTTTCTCAGTAACGAGCCCTTCATCATTCGAAAATGTTACCAGTAAATGGTACCCTGAAATAAAACACCACTGCCCAGATGCACCAATGATACTCGTTGGAACTAAAATAGACTTACGAGATGACCGTGAAACGCTTACTGCCTTAGCTGAACAGGGCCTTAGTGCTATTAAGCGTGAACAGGGACAGAAATTGGCAAACAAGGTATGTAGAAACAAATTGTTTCCTACTTTGTGTGTATATATAATTTTTGTTATATCTTTCTACTTTTTTATGTACTTAATTCAGAATAATTCAATATTAATAATATAATGTTTATTATAGATTCGTGCGGTAAAATATATGGAGTGTTCTGCGCTCACGCAACGTGGACTAAAGCAGGTATTTGACGAGGCAGTACGCGCCGTTTTAAGACCTGAACCGCAAAAACGTCGACAAAGAAGATGCATTATGTTATAAACGATGGAAGGAATTGAAGGGATTCATAGGTATACACATATAATAAAGCAACAGATCAAAATGAATTTGATCATGCAAAGAAAAAATATGAATGTTTTAAAGAGAAGATGAATAGTACATGCATTTTAACGAATTATTCTCTGGCAGCTATAAAATATTATCATATTATGGAAAGAGTACAATTTAAAACTTACTGGTCTCAACGTGAGTCATGATGTTACTTCATGACCAGAAAGTTTAGACAACGAGAAAGTAAGAGAAAAAAGAAGGATAGAATAAATATTTAGCAGCATTTGCAGGGGAGGAAGTTTACAAATTACAGCTTGCAGATGTCTTTCCTTAAACTTGCATTTACATATATTTGCATAATGATAAAAAGATATGTGACCATAGTAACATACAGTCAATAGTTTAGTGGAAAACTGCTCATAACTTTTTTTTTTCTATAAGAGAATCTCTGTTAATTATTGCAGTCCTGCAAATCGAATACAGTGTAAATGTGCTGTGATGATTAAAAGCATTAAGTACCGAAGCTTTACTTATCAGGGCTGCCAGATTTTTGACTTTTTTACATTTACAATAGTAGGAACATTGATTTTAGTACGTATGAATCGAGGTAGCTGTCATAACAATCATATGCTGAAAAGTTTTACGAGAAAAACTAAACTAGCATTGTAGAATCATTTAAACATGCAGTGCCATAGCAACAAAAAATCAAATTTTACAAGCACTTTTAATCAATCAGTTTTAGACAATATATATATATATTTTACTAACAAATACAGAGATTAAAAAAAAAATAATTAGAAAAATTGGAATGTGTAATGATTCTGAAGCAGCATGTTTGTCTTTCCATTTTTTCCAGGCATTTGACATTTTTATTTTTATTAATACTTCCAATAAGAAATGTATGGTATGCATACAGAATACTGCCACAAACTAACACGAAAATTTCATAATATTCTTAATATTATTAGAGAAAGAAAAATCGATAATCTTGTGTAATAATTACACAATTGAATTTGATAGCGATGCACACGAAACATTTGTTATTTAAAATTGTAACATGTCTGTGTGTTAAAAAGAGTAATAAACCGTTGTAACGGATGTAACGAAGTAGTGCAGCGAAAAATCAGAATTTGAAAAAATTAAATCGTTTGATATTTGCTCTATATTATTAAAAAATCTCATTGACTTTGATCTTTGACTCTTTTATGAATTCATATTTTGTTTCGGTGGAGCTAAAGTTTTTGTATCAGGTATCTATTGCCGAAAATGGAGTTTGAACAAGTTAAGTTATTTTTTAGAAATTTTGCAGATAGACGAAGGGATAGATGGACGGATGGTCGGACCAACACTGTGAAATTATAAAGTAGTTACGCTGCGCTACTTAAAAATATATTGCGTATGTGTTCTAATATTTATTTTATTTTGATAAATTAAAAACGAAAAATATCTTAATATGATTTTATATGTGTATTGCAGGAGTTGAAAAATATAATTTTTTATTTTATTAATGTAATGTTTTCTGTTTGTGCTTGTAACAGGATTTTAATATTATACAAATTTTTGCAAATTTTTGATGCAATTTGATTTATTAATATTATTCGAATTCACATAATCTGAATATTCTTTATAAAAATAATAATCAAAAGAAATGTATAACAGTTGATAATAACACAAAACGCTGATAACAAATACAGCAATGCAAAGTTCACCTAAATTGAAATATATAAATATAGCACAATGTATTTTCTTAAATACCATAGTATATTTCACTCTCTTCCATTTATTTGTATGAAATTTGTTTACATAAAAATTACGGAAAAACTAGTATGATGATTTAGGAAGATAGATATCTTGTACAAATAAGTATTGCTATAAAGTTAAGCTCATATCATTGTCTCTAATTCATTATTTTATTAATCGATTAATTGCGATTGTACTTTTTTTAAATAGGTTTTTTGTATTTATGTTTTACTAAAAAAAAATCGGGTTTTATTGATACAGATATAAATGCTCTCTAAAAACTCAATGATAAACCAATAAAATGGATATTATCCTTGTGATCATATTATTTTTTTATATTTAAAAACTTAGGGTATAGAAAAGATAGGACCTTTGTGCCACATGCTTTCCATTTGTACATTAAATATCAAACATGAAATTAAACTTTACATTTGAAACAAATTCCAAATAATTTATAATATTTCGAAATTGAATCGAAAGAAACACATCTAATATCAGAGTGACTAAGAATGGATAATTATTTAAAAGAATAATTTTATATTATTAAAAGAATTATTATTAAAAGAAAATAAATAATTATTTTTAAAAGAAAATAAATAATTTAATGAAGCAATGAAAAGCATAGATTTTGCTATTACAATTTCCATCATTAATATTAATTAGTTTGCAAAAATAAATTTTACAGTTGCATAAAAAGGCTTAGCGATCAGTGATCGTTTCGGCTGTTCTAGTCTCAAAATGCTATAAAAAGCAAAAGGCATATTACAGCTTATGTGTACATAATGTAGCATAGAAGCATACTCGAAATTTTGGTTCAAGTTTATGTCTTTTAATTTACTCTTGAAATCTGTATGCGCCAATAGGTCTTATCATAAAATGTCATCATTTATTAATTGCTGCAACTAATGTCTGTTTTTTGTTTTGTTGATTTGTTGTGTGACGCATATGAAATAAAGTATAATTGCTAAGTAATTACATATATAATTATTTATACATATAATAATTATATATAATTATTTAGCAGTAAAATATATTTATATATCTAATTTCAAAAATTACGAAAATAAATTGCTAGAATATCTTCTAAATTACAAGTATACATCTTAAATGATTAATCTAGCATCTTATCTTCATTTATTGCAATTTAAGAAAGTTTAAATTTTTTTATATGTATGTGTATACTCTTGCATATGTATAATAATGCATTAGTTAAGCATAATAACATATTACAATTATGTATTATAATACATACATTGTGTATTATAATGCATAAATTGCATTTTTTGTAAGTAGTGCACTTATCTTACAAGTTTCCAGGTATTTGTACGCGTTTGTTCTTTCATATTTCAAAATTGATTATTGGTAATGTAGTATCTAATATTTGTCATTTTTATTTCGATTTTGCATGCATCTTTTGTACAAGGCATATTATTTATAATTTTAGGTCATTGAATAAATTTAATTATAGAATTTGTATATTGAAACAGTAATAATAATGTTACTAACAGGATAGGTACATTATAGTATATCTGATGCCTGTACTTCCTAATGATAAGCTTTAATTTTTGGGCATGATGTAATTTAAATTACACTACTTACAATTTTTGCATTTAACGGAAATCGTAGAATGCAAATTACTTTCTCATCTCTCCTCTTTTTAACGAAATCATCGAGGGATTGCTATGAACCAAAGTTATATATTACAATTTAAGATATCTATGTTTTTTATTATGGACTATTGCACATAAGTATAAAAAAAAACGAATGTATGAAATGTAAAGATATTCTAGTCATCACGAATCTGCTTTTAACTTTTATTTGTATACATGAATAATGCTCTCAGATTGCATGTAAACAGAATATATTCCTTAAATGGAGCAATTTAGCGTGTGAATAAGCGAAACATGAAATAAATAGAAAGAAAAGAGGATATGAAAGTAAAGATGCAACTTAATATTGTCAATTTAGATAGAATGCAAGAAAACCAAACGATGAGAGTAGAAATTCTGTAGAAATTACAAATATATGTATATGTGCTAGGATATATAACTTTAATTATGAGTAATTTATAAACATTTATCTATTTTCGTATATATAACAAAATTCGTTATTTATGTACTAACAGGACAGCATAAGAGAGCGTCCCATTACTATTACAAAAGTTTTTTAAACCTACTTATTTACAAATTTATAACAATGAGATACCTCATATTAATTTTGTAAATTTACAATAATGAGATACCTCATGTTAATTTTGTAAATTTATTTTACAAAATAATATATGTTTCTACAACTGCACATATATTTTCTATGCACTCTTTTGCTGTCGACCTGATAGCGTATTGGTAAAATAGTGGCCTCAAAATTAATTTATCTCGTTTTCCTTGTGGAAAAAAATTCATTAACAATGACGATTGCAATGTAACATGACTACATAAACGCATATTCTATATGGCACTAGGAAGCATTTATTTTTTATTTACATGTATTTTGAAAACAACTTTTTCAAATAAATGATAATAAAATTATAAGATAGCATAATTTATATTATTCCAAGTTATATATCTATCTTTAAGAGAAATTCTTTAAACATTTTTTTTTGTATTTTAGTTTGAAATTAACATGTTTTATTAATATTTTTATTTTATAAAGTTTACTTTTATGTACAAATTATAGAACATTTTAATAATACGTCTAGAAATTAGAAAAACGATCGGTTTCATTTATTTTTAATTGTATTTAAATTATCAATATATGTATTTTTCATCTTTCAATATTATTATGAAAGAGATACACAACTTTAGTTCTATTCCTTGAACTTTTTTTCAAGAATTTTCTTGCGATAAAAGATTTTTATAATTTCTCTTTCCAACTCATTTAAATCAAATGTTTATTAATATTCGATGGAAATATTTTTTAGAAATATTTTTTTTTTAATTATTTTTATCATTATATTAGGCGAAACGGTCATTCAACATTCAAATTGATCATAATAATTTTAAATTCATAAAACTCGAGCAATTCTAATCATGAATTCAAATTCTTATTTTCCCGTTCTTGTAATCTGATCAATCAATAATGATTTTTTATAATAAAAAATAATAAATTTTCCTATTATTTAATTAATGAATTCATCAGATCACAAATTATCTATTTTATTTAATTTAATATAAACAAATATTTAATAACAATATTGTCGTGTTATTTAACGGAATATACATGTACTGTTTCATTGTCAAAGTTGATTATATTGTCAGTATATTTAGATACTTTCTATAACAAAACAATTTGTTTAATGTGTACTAATCTAAAGTATGAGTGACTGAATTTACTATTAAAGATCATCCAATGTACACTGTATATTTGCGCACGTAAGGATCGAAATAGCACAGGGCACTTCAGCATTGCTAGCCAGCCCTAGATGTGCCACGTGTTAGATGAAGACGGTATGGCCCACCTGATTCTATTCATCTTCGTCTGTTGCATGTATATGTACAGTGCAGTAGATTAATTTGTTGGATCATAGTAGTAGTCTGATTTATCGACCCCATTTAAATTACATTGAGTTGATAAATAAGATTGTTACGACGACCCAGCGAATTGATGTACTGCACTATACATGCGTGGAAGGGGTATGAAATGTCGGCAGATGTCGGAGACAAGGCAGGACAAACCGTGGCGAGGGGTGACTGGTGCGGGGTGCGTTCGTATGTAACGTCGTCCATGCTATAAGCGCTGTAGCACGTCGGTCGGTGAGTGGCACGTACATACATACGTGCATAAACGAAGTGGCATAGAACGTAGGGCGTAGAGCGACTGTGTGTGAAGGGGGTGAGCGCTGCGTCGCGGATACTCTCTCGCGCGCTTACCGGAGCGCTCGTCATCGCCATGGCTCCGTGCGCGTGGTCCTTCCGTAGGAACCTCAACCGGTTTCTCGACGTACCGATCCTGCAGTGCTTAATCGTGCTGATCGGCCTTTTTAATCTCTCCCTGTGCCTCTACGAAGATCAAGTCGGCAAATTCGATTGGTAAGTGATCGAAGCAACCTCTAAATAATGCAGAGAGAGTGAGAGTGAGACAGAGAGAGAGAGAGAGAGAGAGAGAGAGAGAGAGAGAGAGAGAGAGAGAGAGAGAGCGCCGTGGGAATATTATCATGAGGACCGATATACTCGATTTCCCGTCTGTCATCCCCGGATGAATTAATCATTTACGCGAGATTTTTCAGGAGGCAGAACTACGTCGGAAAAATTAAATTCGCCAGCTTCGATACGGTATCTACGGCGAAGAAGATTATCGTCGCCACCGAGGAGAACGTTATTGCTGCGCTTAATCTGAAATCTGGTAAATATAAGTATTTACAATGTTTCTTTTTTTTTCTTATCTTTTGCATGTTACATGTGCATTTGCATGGTGCTTTTCATATTTCCAGTTTCTTTAATTATCTTTTTATTGCTATTTATATTTGCCCATTTAACGATAATTATAATGATTAAGCACATTTTCGTGTATGCCAATATTATAAATTAAATATTATTCCATTACAAGTATTGTTATGTACTAAGAAATATAATTTATTAGGTCATAAAATAAATGTATTATTAATTATATTTATGTTGCAATAGGCCAAATATTATGGAGGAGAGTGCTAGAAAAAGGTTATGGCGGACGTATCAGAACTTTAGGAGGTGTCGCGGATGGAGACTTGATATCCGTGAGTGGCGGTGTTCCCGCCATCGTTCGTGCCTGGGATTTAGCAACCGGGCATATACTTAACGAATGGCCAATAGCTGAGCCAAATAGTGACAGGTTTGTATAAAATGTTGAATTTATTAAAACAATATATTATTGCAAAATTCTATTGTATTTTAATAATGTTAAGAAAAAGTCTACAAATATATTACTTATAAACATCTTTAATAATGAAAGAATGTGAAGGATTTGTTGTGTTTCTAAATATTGTGTACTATATGAAGCTAGAGATATACCTCTAATTATCTCTTAAAACCAATTGAAAACTTGATATGCTGAAGATTTATATAAAACATAATCCATTGCTTTTACAGACTTGCATCTCCGTTTATATCGTTTTCTACATTGGGCTTGTACTCTGCTGACAGGTCTTCTCATTTTTATTCAAAGCACAGTCAATAATATATGTTTTGTACACCTAGTTCTGTAATTCTGTACTGTTGTAAATTAGGTTGCTTAAATTCAGCAGTTCAATATTTTTATTCATATAATCATCACCATGTCGAGTAACACACAAGCGCGCGCGCGCACATGCACACACACACACACATACACACACACACACACACACACACAAAATAAGGAATAAATACTTGAAGATTTTTTGTTGTAACACAAAATTAATATATTTCTGATTGTACAAAACTATGGAGATATTTTGATGTGTTAAATATTTATTTGGAGCATATAATTGACAGATACAATTTGTTTTTCAGGATAAAAGATGTAAAATGGCATATCAAAGATGGAACGCTGCATCATATATTACCTATTTACAATAGTGGAGTAGAAGTAACGTCTTATGACAGTAAGACTGGAGAAAAATTAAAAACTCGGAGAGTTTCTGCACCATTTATAAGTCGAGAAACAGAGTAAGTAATTTTAGATTGAAATTAATTTTTCTTCTGTATGTCAAATTTATATGAAATTTATATGAAATTTATTTGTATGAAATTTATATGAAATTTATTGTATATTATTAGTTTCATAAATATATTATCCATTTTGATATTTAAAATAGTTCTATTTTGGTTTAGATGTGTTTTAGCAGCTCCATATTTAGCATGTTTGAAGGGAGACAGTTCCTTAGCTGTAGTATTATTAGTACATCTATTCGATACTAATGCACAGTCACAATCAGTTACAATAAATGCAATATTTGGGGCTGGCGCCCAAGGGCCATATAAATTAGAATCTGTACTTGGAGAGGGATCTGTAATTTCTATTAATGCCGATAATGACCAGAGAAAGCGAATTTTAGTTATTGGAGAATTTCCGATTCCTATACAGAGAGATATCGCTGGTGATGCAACTCTTTATGTTGTTACTGTTGATAATGAGAAAATACTTTTGGAAACAACATATAAAAATGGAGTAAATATTAAAACATGTGTTCTTCTTTGTTTCTAGAGAGAAGATTTATTAATTTAATTTTTTTATAAATTTTCTATTATTTTACTTAGAAAATAGAGATAACAGCGACGAATCTGTTATCATCTGCAGTTATACCTGATTTATCGGTTACTCTGACTCATGTTTCTGTACAATCACCAACCATAATGGCATCTGTTTGCCCACGGCAAACGAAAGGGATAACGTGTCGTCATTTATTATCCTCGCAAGATCACAGCATTGCACTGTTGCAACATAATAAACTGGTATGGACAAGAGAGGAAGCACTTGCCAGTATTGTGGCCGTTGAAATTATGGAATTGCCTATGTCTGACAGGGATCAAGCTATCGAAACAGAATTCGATCAGAAAGAGAGTAAGTAAGATTATTTATATATAAATATTGAATATTAAAAAATGTATAAATTTAGTCGAAAAGGATTTTTTTATTTCTCATTGAATTTAATTGAATATTTTTTACGTAATATTTCATAACTGTGTATTTGTAACTGTTGATATAAATAAATCTTACATATTTCTTTTGTTCCTGAATGAAGAATAGCTAGAAATAAGATAATATACCTTTGCTAAATAATTATTGTCATATGTCAAATGTACAAACATAACTTTTACATTTCCAAGATATAACTTACATTTTCCTAAATATATCAAGGCCAGTATTCATAGTTCATTCTTATTTCAAGATGTTTTAAGTAATCTCTTAAGATACTAATACTGCTTCGTAATTGGCTTATGATATTTTAAGATTATACTTAATACGATCTTAAATATAAGAACCAATTATATTAAATACACTTAATTTTATATTACACTTAATTTTTTTAAATTCTTATCGGATGATAAGATGTCTTCAATCTGTGCATAATTACATATATTATTTGAAAGCTATGAAAAAGCTTACGTATTGTTTTAATTAATAACACTCGTATATTAAAGCGATATTTATTGGCACAACACAATTCAATTTCTAATAACAATCTACCTGTAAGTTATATTAATTAACTCTCTTTTGTGAATGGCTGCTGACAGGTATTGATGTAGACAGTTCATGTAAGTAGTGGAGCAGGAAGGCTGGTTTTAATGCAGTACTTTGTGTTATTGCTATTTACGAACTTATTTGCATGTTATAACATTTGCGATGTATAGGCTCCTAAAGATACTGGAAGATGAACGCGTATATACGTGTGATTATCTAGAATATCTTAAAGATAATTCAATTATTATATAATATATAATAATTATAATATATCTAATATATTACTACCTGCATGACATATTGCAAGAAATAAAATATCCATATTTGGATATTTGTTATGGTTGAGTTTAGATGTAAATGAAGTATCATTGATGCAAATAATGTAGCAATTTCGTTGATACATGATAACCAGCTGCGTAAAATGCATGAAAACATTTTTATGACTTCTACAATCATATGTATATGTAAAGTCATTAAACCTGCTGAAAAAATTTTCATAACGCAATACAGTAGCTTATAATAATTATAGCATATATAAGTTTGCTATTATTCTTTTAGACATCGTCTAATTTTTTATATCCTTCCGCTGTATTATCCAATCCACAGATCTCAATACTCAAAGTCTTTCGGGATACGTGTTTTCTAATATATTTTGCTATATTTTTAAACAGGGGACGTTCTAAGTATGTTTCTTCGAAGGATTACTTCACAGATTAACCAAGCCAGAGCGTTCTTTCAAACAATACTGGATTTGGTACCTCAACAATCCAATCAACGTATTGATCTGGTGCAAGATAAATTTGGCTTGCACAAAATGATCGTAGCCGTTACATCCGCTGGAAAGGTATGACTTCATGTAAATTATCAGACAGCTATTACAAATTGTTATTCTAAACTAATTGTTATTCTAAACTACTTGCAGCTGTACGGTATCGAAACTAGAAAAGGCGAAATTATCTGGCAATTCAGGTTACCTAATATCCGTGGTTTCACAAAACTATCTAATACAATGATTTTGTATGTACAAAGAGGCAGCAGACATTTTCCTCATCCACCTCAATGTGCACTATTAGCAGAAGATAAGGTAAAATACATATTTATATATAAGATTCAATGATAAATGTAATAAATGTTCATACTTCATATCTGATATTGCTTTTATGTCATGCAATAGGAAACCGGAGAAGGTGTTATATATACATTTAATCCGATTACCGGACAGTCATTGGACGGACTAGTGAAACTTGGTTACAAAATAAAACAGTCTATGTTATTACACGTAGCGACTGACGATTTTTTACGCGGTATCCTTATTCTTGATGTACGAGATAAAGTTCATGTTTATCCCGATAGCGCTACCGCGGTTGCAGCCTCACTCGGGAAAAATATATATCTCTTTACTGCTGATCAAACGACAGGAATATTATCCGGCTTCTCTCTTTCATATAGCACAACTCAGGTTTGTTTCATGTATACATATATTTAGCATATAGATCAATTTCATTATATTAATAAATCTTAATCATTTTAATGATTAATGCAGGAACTAATCGCCCATAAAGTATGGGAATTGTTACTGTCACCTAGAAACCAAAGAATAACGCAAGTTGCAGCGAAAAATCCGATAGAACGTGTGCACTCTCAAGGAAGAGTTTTAAGTGATAGATCAGTATTGTATAAGTATATTAATCCTAATTTAGTGGCCATAGTGACAGAAGGTATTGGACATGCCCATAAAAGTGAGTATATTTTTGATTATTATCGTGCGAATTTATATTATTTATAGAAAATACATTTAACGTTTTCTCATTTTACAGATACGCTTAATTTATATCTATTAGACGTAGTATCTGGGGCTATGATTTTTTCTATTACGCACAAAAGAATACGTGGTCCAATCCATATAGTGCATTCGGAAAATTGGTTGGTATATAGCTATTTTAATGAGAAAGGACGTAGAACAGAAATCGCTACGTTAGAGCTTTATGAAGGAAAAATACAGAGCAATACTACAGGTGAAAATCATTTTCAATATACATTTGTATCACAGAAAAAAAAAATCAATTGATTATGTCTATTGGTTCAGTAACTATTTTAACTTTAAGATCGAAAGAAATTGTGGTCTTTTCAAGAATCACATCATATAAAATATCGTACAAGGATATCGTCGACATAGTTTTAATTTCCAACTGAAATTTTGATACTAAACAATTAGAATTCTTATCAAATTAATTTTGAATATTGATTATTTTTTTCCAAGATCAAATATATTTATATCATCAATTTAATAATATAATGATTGTTGGATATTTCAGTGTTCTCTTCTTTAGCAACAACAAAATTACCAATTGTAGAAAGACAAGCTTTCATTTTTCCGGCATCTATAGAGTATATGCAAGAAACAATCACAGAAAAGGGTATCACTAGCAAACATATAATAGGTATGTAAAATTATGGTTCGATAAATTAAAAAGAAAATCCAATTTCAATTATCTGAATATATTGAAATATAAATTAAATGTACGTGTACGCACACATTTAATTATGATATTTTAATATATTTCCACAGTCGCTTTAGCCAATGGTGGAATATTAGAGTTGCCGTGGATGATGGTAGATCCACGACGGCCTATTAACCCTGAAATGCGAGAAGAAGGAGTAATACCATACATGCCAGAGATTCCAGTTCATATGGATGCTATTATTAATTATAATCAAAGTGTTTCTAGGGTTATAGGTATTCATACTAGTCCCAGTGGCCTTGAAAGTACTTGTTTAGTTTTTGTACATGGTCTTGGTAAGTATTTAAGGTAACATTAAATATTTGATTTTAAACTCGTATTTTTATAAATGACTTTTCACACAAAATGATTATAATATTTGTAGATCTGTTTTATACAAGGGTGGCACCATCTAAAACATTCGATGTTTTAAAGGAGGATTTTGATTATTATCTTATTGTGATAGTACTCGCGGCGTTGTTGATCTCATCGTACGTCACGAAAAAATTAGCATCTCAAAAAGCTCAAAAGCAAGCATGGAAATGATGCCTCGTTTTTCTAGAATTGTGTAATATTTATGAATCTGTTCACTATAGGCAAAAATTTTTCCTAAGAATAAGATGTAAGATATACTATTTTATAAATAGCTAATTTTAAAACACAAGGTAATTATTTATACTTTATTATCTTACCTAAAAATTTTTCAATCTTAAATCCTAAATAAAAATATAATATGTATATTTTACTTTGTTAATCTGGTACAAAACGCACATATGTGATGATGAATCAAATCTTTTAAAGTGTGATGATCAATGTATATACGATGCGAAAATAGATCACGATCATTGATCATTAAATTACATTAGAATAACTAATATGCTCAAAAATAATTTTTTCTTTATTAATGTTCAGCAATTTCTTTAAAAGATAGAAGATTTCTTTCATCAACTGATACTTTTGATACAAATCAAAGCAAAAATTGATAATTTTTAGATACTAATTTGAATAAAATTATATTCCCAACATATTTTAGACAGTGAAAATATTAAAATATTAATAAATATGATACTGATAAACAATGCTAAATGGAGATAGATATTTGTTTAATACGCAAAAAAATGTGATTGTCATATTAAATATGATAGTCTAATTAACAAATGAATATTATTAAAATAAGATAGATGTAATAAGATGTAATAAGAATAGATTGAGCATTCTTATTGAAATTGTTATCGATTTAAAAAGAGTGAGACAGCTGGAATCATATACCTTTCTCTCATTTTCTTTTTGAAGTATCGAGATGAAAAAAGATGCTGATATGTTCTATTCTTTTTAATGGTACACATGCTAAAATCAGGGAATGTGCAAACTGTACCTATTACGTTTGTGTGAAATAATTTCATTGTCACAAAATATAAACTAGAATTTGTAAACAACGATATATTTTGCATCTTTCTTCATAATTCTTTATATCACATGTAACAAGTTTATGCATTTTACATACTTATATATTTCAAATTCCTTATAGTGTCTTATGACAAATTTTTTTTAGAACATCATACAAGATTTACAAGAAATATATAAAAAAATGATTTTTAAAAAATATTTTTTCTTATTACTTAATTTAAAAAAAAAAATATATATATATATATATATAT